CATAATTGTTCAGACAATTGTCAAAGGTCTGTAATATTAAAATCTCAAACAGAAAGGAAAATCATGAGAAAAACATAACATGACAAATTGTGTTATTAAGGGATGACAGTTTCTTAGCAAACATAAATAAACCTAAGCTGAAGAATGGGCAGTAAAATTAAAAAAAAACAAACTCCATTCTTTGCAAGACTCCTCACAACTACACAGATATACAAGTTGGAACTTTTTTTTTTTCCTTTGCAAATTACACTCAATAAATAATACAAAATAGCAATGCTAATTAAGAATACTTTTGAGTCAGACATTGTTGAAACAAAGCAGTCTTTTTTTTTAAATTAGTGAAATTCTTAATGCTATTCTTAACAGATACAGTTGGAATTACTAATTCGCTTATTCTAATTTTTTCACTAGATGTCAGTTTCATTCAACATCTGAAATTTCTACTAGAGTTACCTCCAACCTAACTTTTTCAATATGAATTTAACCAAAAAAAAACTGTCCAAAAGTTAACGTTTTTCTTACATTGAAAATGTATTTCTGATATGCACTTACTTCCTTCTCACACTATCTAGATTCTTATCTGCCCTCTAAGTATTGCTAAAACATTTTTGCAATCAGCACACCAGCCTTTATACCCCATCAGTTTCACATCACTTCTGAACATGTACATATCACGTATCATGTGACTACTCTCCATCATTGGTATTGTGCCACCTATACCAGTGCAGCTAGCTCCCTCTGCTATTCCTGCTCAATCCTCAATTTCAAGAATTGGCAGGTACCAAAATAAGAACACTGGCAGTGAGGAGGAAAGGTAGGAAGTGTGCATACATGAATACCTATCAGATATACATTTTCAGTGTATGAAAAACGTTAACCTTTGATACAGTCTTATCTTACAGAGATGGAGAGACCAGTGTAGGTGCACAAAAGTGAAAACATATGAAAAGCATCTGCCCAGAACAAATGGGTTTTCCCCTGGGAATAAAAACGAATCACTTGTGAGGCACTGCACTACTTCTGGAACAGATATACTCTTACACCCAGGAAGTAGGAAATGAAACCAAAATGGGTGGAAAAGGAAGTTACCTGCACAAGCGTAATATGATTTGGTAAGTGCAAGCTATAGTAACATATAAATGGAAAGAGCTATGTATATTCTCAACCTCGAATGGACAGATGAGGTTCCATAACTTGTCCTTAGCATTAAGAGGTTGAAGATGAAAAAAGCTGTAATAACAACATTGTGGCTAGGGCATGTGGACCATGTTATATATATATACCCAACAACCACAATCATAAGCAAACTATAAGAGTGTTCTATGTCAAGCAACTGGAATTACGAAGATGGCTTGAGCTTTCAGTCATAAATGGACAAACTCCCAAAACCACCATGGGAACAAGGAGTACAACAAACCGAATCTGGCATTATATGATGATGCCATGGACGTCTTGTTGTTGGTATTATGCAACCAGAATTAATGAGAGGCATCTACTGCATTCCACCGTAGGAACAGAGCGTTGTCCACTGAACTTGGCATTACGAGAAGGATCTCGTTTAGGCTGGACCTGCTCCAACTGATTAATTTATTATTCTGTTTATTGCTGTCCACATGAGAAAAAACATGGAAGGAGTGAAACCAGCTTTGCCCTCTTTTCACTGTGTGAATAATCATAAGTACGTGCTGTAAAATAAATTTATAAACTCACTCAAGCCTCCATGGTTCATCATGCAAGCAACTGGAAACTGGTAAGGACTCCCATGCACCAGTCAAAGAACAAGGTTGGGAAAAATGCGGTGGGAAGTCCGGACAAATGTCACACTGGAGACAGTGCAATGGGTGTTAGTTATTCCCTATTTTGAAAAGCAGACCTACTCCGATTTATTCTATCTAAGGGTCAACAGGGATGGGCAGAAATACCCTTCTGCTTTACTTAGGAAGTCCATGAGTGACGAACTGCCATAAATTGAAATTGAGAGATATCTAGTACATATACACACACACACCACTGGGCAAGTGAACAGTGGTCTTATAGAAACATCCCATCTCTACTGTGAGCATTATATAACAACTCTAAACTAGTGGGAGTTTGATGCAAAGCAAACCTGAACAGGCAACACTCGCCACAGAGTGGGATCTCTATAGCAGTGATTAAAGCTAGGGTTGGTGAAATGAAAGGAAGTGATAAAGACTTACCCCAGTCAAACGGGAATGGATGTGTGAAGAAATTCTACAGGAGGAAGAAGATATCCACCAGAGGAAGATACAACCAGACCGTGCAAATAATGAGCAACAAAGGTATTGGGAGTTGTCTACATTCCAGTCTAAACAATTTCCTCCAAAGGGATATGTTATGAATTTAATGAGAAGAAACGTTGTGGAGACGGCAATTTTCCATGGACAAATTCAAGTACATCAGCCTAATGAGTTGACAAACCCAAGCAAGGGGGAGAAGGAAATAGTTCTTGAGAGAGAGATGGTACAAAGAACACACAGACAAAGGTTCATGGAGGAAGTATGACTCCAAAGGAGAGGAACAAGAGGGGAAATAACAGGGGATGTCAAAACCTGGAGAAACTGAAGGTGCTCGACAAAACTGCCCAACAGCTAGACACGGTCGAAGTAGACAAGCCTTTGTCAAAATGCCACGTGAAGAATAAGGAAAGGGAGGAACAGAAGGGTGGGAATGGCAGAAACCACGTCTATGAGACCAAAAGCGGAAGGTATAACATTGTCTGTGGTAAATGGGCATGGAAGAAGGTCTAATGGATCGGGAAAGGAAAGATGCAACATGAGAGTCAAGTTCCTGGGCTGAGACAATGGCCTTACAAAAGCCATGTGTGAAGAAAGGGTGTGTGACATCTGGATGAACAATGTCTGTCCAGGTTGACAGAATAGGGACCGAGACAGAAGTAAGATTGTAAAAGTAAAGGTTAGAGCAGTAGGAACGATGGTTATGCTGGCCAGAACAGAGCCACCTGGAGGACAAGACACAGATCGGTGTGGAATAAAGATAGAACTCTGGAGAGGAGTTGAACAGGAGGGTAAGCATAGATGTTAACTCTTTCAACATGGGCCTGATCCCTGGGACTGACCTTGTAGCCGTTATAGTTTCATGCTATAACTTTTAAATTAGTAAGAAAGTGTTAACAAATGTTATTGCTTTCCATAGGAGCAAAAAAATGTGGTCTGGACTGTGAAGGGGAAGAAGCAAGTAGGAGGCAGTCATCCATAAAAAAAAGTGTTGAAGTTACTCTAAATGGCAAGTTCCTAAACTGGAAAACTCAACTTAGAACAAGAATTTACTATTGACGAACTGGGCACTGGGAGGAAGAACTCTGAATTGTAGGTAACAAGGAGAAAATGAAGTTTCTAGCATCATGAACATAGGAAAAATAGCCAATGCAAAGCCCAATCCTACAAAAAGGAAAGAAAAAAAAACATCAGAAATTTAACAAAATAAAAGTAACTAAGTCCTACACTGACTAAAATTAGGATGAGAAGGCACGTAGTTAACAATTAGGAAAAAAATGAATTATTCAAATAGAGCAACAAAGTATATTTTACTAGTAATAATGATATGTAACATACAAACTAACTAAAACATGCCTAGTCAACAAAGTACTTTTAAATATAAGAAAACAAACCATCTAAATTTATCTAGTCCACAAAGTATGTAACAATAATGAACACACATGAATAATCAATATCTAACATTGAATTCCTTTAAATTTACCTAGACAACAAAGGACAAAAGAAGAAGTCTTACACTGACAAAAATTAGGATAAAGCACATAGTTAACAAGGACAAAAAAACAATTACTCAAATAGAACAATGAAACAGATGTCACTAGTCATAATGATATGGAACTTACAAACAATCTAAACATATATAGTTAAAGTATTTATTAATAACAAATTAACGAACCTCTGAAATTTATAGTCTACAAAGTATGTAGTATTAATGAATGTGCAAAACAATAATCATTATCTAACTTAAAATTCACCTAAAGTAACTTAGAAGGCAAAGGACACATAGTTATCTAACTTACCAAAGTCCAAGCACCGATGATGTGAAATGCGTAATTCTCCCTTGTGTAAATGAGGGCAAAGCCACACAAAGGGTTTCTGAGCCACGCTTACCATCAGTATATCAATCATGAAATTTACATGTTAAAAACTTACCACAAATCCCCTGGAAGAACTAGAAGCAAAATGAAGAAAGGAGAAAAACAATTCTCCATCAAGTGAATGACATGGCAGCACAGCAACTGGAACTGAAGAGGTGTAGTGTGACAGACCAAAATAAAGAAAAAAGAGAGTCCAACTTGTCTTCTCATTGAATGTATTCATCATCAGAAACATTGTCACATTGAAAAATGAGTCAAAATCGCTGGCCGATCATACGAATCTAGCTCCCTCCGAATTAAGGCCTGTACCTCCTCTGCAGATAAAGTCGAATCCAATTCCTGAGAAGTCTTACCAGTAGCTTTTTTTTTTACTTTAACAGGAATTTTCGTAGTCGACACATTGATGGCAAACTCATACTAAGATCTCCTATAACTTCGAAACAAAAAATAAATGCACAAAAATTTTAAACAAGTGAATGCAAACTCAGTAAAATAAGGATGTTGGAGAAAATTTGAAATGGCAAAGAAGTACATTTATAAACAGTAACCATATGCAAACAAAAAACATCTAAACAATGCAGTGCCAATTGAGAAAGTCAGGATTGAGCAAGAATGGCAGAGGGAGCTAGCTGTGATGGTATAGGTGGGGAGTAGTCACATAATATGTAAATGTTCAGAAATAACGCAAAACTGATGGGGTATAAAGACTGGTGCACTGATTGCAAATATTTTTTTAGCAGTGCCTAAAGGGCAGACAAGGATTGAGATAGTGTTGTGTGAGATGAGGTAAGTAAATATTTGAATAATAAAATTTAACTTTTAATATAAGAAGGCATCTTCTATTATTTCAACATTAAGATTTACTCACCTCCAATGTGGGCATCTCTACTCGTAAATTCAATAGTACCATCATGAGCTTTACGAAGGTCTTCCTTATACTCTTTATGTATACCACAACTAGTGTTATATCTACAAGCTAATCCATAATCCACAAGATACACCTGTGATAAGAAAATGTACTTGTAAGAAAACATTTATATTCTTAGACACATGAATGGTCTTTACAAAATGCCCTTTTGATAAAATATTCATACAAGATAAATCTTCTCAGATAGTGACTGAACTTTCATTACCCCCCCCCCCAAAAAAAACTTACATCATGTATAATAGTTAAATGAACTGCCTAAACATCATGTTAGTGCAGCCTATATCACGTGTAAAGTTTAGTATACTCTAATCCCTCATAGTGATGGGTCACGACGAGACACACACATTCAGCATGTAATGCTGTTTGAATACAAGATGGGAACCAACACCTCTGTAGCCTCAAAGAATATTGAAGAAATTTATGAAAATGTTTTGAATGTTCGTAGGGGCTGATATGTTAGAATTGATATTGATGTTCTGAAGATGCATGTTGAGTCTAACCCAAGGCAACACACTCGTGAAATGGCCATGAAATTGCATGTCTCTCATGAAACAATATGTAAACATCTAAGGAATATGAGAAAACTCCATAAAGAACGTGTTTGAGTGCCTTATGAACTCTCCGATGATCATCGTTTCCAATGTGTAAACAATGCTTCGTTTCTTCTGGCACGTAATGCATGTTGACCATTTTTAGACAGAATTGTCACTGGTGATAAAAAAATGGATTATCTATGCGAATATTAAATGCACCAAAAACAATGGCCTAGTCCTACACAAAAACCACTTCTGACCCAAAAACCTGGACATAATCCACAGAAAGTGATGCTTTGCATTTGGTGGGACATCAAAGAAGTAACTCATTTCAAACTCCTCAATCTACAGTGAATTGTCAATGCAAAGATCTGTAGTCAGCAACTGGAACATTTAAATCAAGCCCTTCCCTCATCAATTGTAAAGGTGTTCTTCTTCATGACAATGCATGTTTGATGCAACACAAGATTATGGAGTCGGGTTGGGAAGTTCTCCCCCACCAACCATATTCTCCAGATGTGGCGCCATCATATTACCATCTTTTTCTTTCGCTGCAACACCATCTTAATGGGAAAACGCATGTAAATATGGAAGGTGTTAATAAGGATATCAACATGTTTTTTGCTTTAAAGCCATGTGATTCCTTTAATCAGGGCATTAACAACCTGATTGTAAGATGGAAAAGCATCATTGATAAAAATGGAGACTATTTCATTTAATAAATGTTTAATATACAAGTTGTTCAGGTTTTTTCATTTAAAAAAAAAGTGACATTAATTTCTTGATGACCTAATACATAAATACATTTTAGACAACAATTAACTCTTTAAATGGATATATCTGAACACTAGTAAACCATACCTTATAAATACAAATATATCATACTTTAATGCTATGATTATCAACATGGGCACATTTAATTATGCACCCATTGTTTTTGCACAATATTATTATTCACTAAAATGAGCAAATTTTGGTCCAATGCTCTATAATAATTAAACATTCGTCATTATTTTATTTTCTACACACAAATATACTATGGGAGCCAATAATAATAATAATAAATAAAAAAAAACAACAAAAAAAACAGACATAAATAATGCTGTACACATGCATACGTTTGATATCTTTGTAACAGAAGGGTTAAAGAAATTATACTATTCCACAGAAGATTATGAAATAAAAACAGTCATTCTGCTTCTAAATCCTCTTATTCAATCTCGTGCAACCAAAATAATATCAAGAATTCAAAACTTAAGAGATTTATTAATTATTAATCTCTGCTAAAAAAATATAATTGAAAAATCAGAAAATGTTACACATCTAATTTAAAAACAAAAACCATTCATAGTTATCTATTTAATATATGGCACCACAAATTTTAAACAAGGTATTCTTGCAATAATTAAACATGATACTATCTTCCAGGGTTTTGAGTCTATTTTACTTCACCATGAAGGAATCTAAATTGATTTAGGTATGTGAATAATGTTATGACATTTCATTAAATTCTTTATTCATTATTATATAGCAGACCAACTGTTTAATGATTGTGTGTATATATATACACATACACACACATACATACAAACAGGATACTGTAAATTCCTAAGCTTTACCCTGTAAATGTTTTCCTGAATGGAAACCTGTGCATTGGAATAAAAACTATTAAAAGCACAGTGATATTTTATGCCATCAACATATAATCTTGTACAAAGTACCAGAAAATAAATTTTGTTAAATTAAGAACGTTGCTAAATTAAGACAAACATGACCTAATAATACTGTAAGGTGCCACGTGTCTAGCTCCTAAAAACTTGAAAGAACTTTCAGATGTTACCTGATTTTCTCTGCCCTTTCCAAATCCTAGAAGCAGATTAGACCCCTTAACATCAGCATGAATATATCCAAAACTATGTATATATTCTAAGATGTCCAGCTATTCAGTATGGAAAGTAGTAAAAAAAAAAAGGGTCAAAATTTTATTTCTTATAAAATACAAGCAAATGTTACAAAACTGCACAAATATTTGTAATAAAAGTAACACCGGGAAAAACAATAATTACTACAAATAAACATACTGAAATGTATTTAGAAATTCAAATTCTATCAAAGACAAATTGAAAAAGTATGCATCAAATTAATCTCATGTTTAATACAACTTTAACTCAGTATGTATTACACATAAATTTTCAACAAAATTGAAAATGAGGTACAGTACCTTCTTCTAGCAGACAACAAAACATCTAAATGCTTATATAAATATTGGTGTGAAACATTACAAATTATACAACTTTTAGGCAGTCAAATATTTTACTTGGCATTACAATCAGTGAAGAATCAGAACATTACATTTAATTTTATTTTCTTGGATATAAAATTATTCTTGCATCTCAAGAGCAACAATACAAAAGATTATGCAAAAAATAAATGATTCTAAAACAATATACAAGTACAAAATACTGATTTTCAAATATACACCTGGAAAAAAGTTAAGCACCCCCAAATATTTTTCAGGATTGCTTATTGAAAATAAGGTTTAATTTTCATGATGTTGAGCAATGTTC